TGGGGGAGGGGACCATGGGGGGACTCCTGCCAGGCCCCATACCCTGCCTGATACCCCAGCCCCCCGAACACTCCCCCAGCCCCCACCCACTCCCATGTCTGTCCCGCCTACCCCAGCTCCTGGCACTTTAAATTTAAAAAAAAGCCCTCACTCAAGTGTTACAGCAGCCTCAGGGCTTTTGCAGGCTCATGGCAGAGCCCCCCATGCAGCAGGGGCAGCGTGGATCGTCCCCCTGCCTGGCAGTAGCCAGTGAGTGGGGGCTTTTTTTTTTTTTAAGAGCCAGGACCTGGGGCCTGGAGAGTGGGCAGGGGATGGGGGCTTGTGACTGAGTCCCCCACACAGCGTGGGCCAGTGAGGGGCAGTGGGGAAGCCTCCGCTCCCCCTCTGCCCCCGCCTGGCAGCAGCCAGTGAGTGTAGGCTTTTTTTTCAAAGAGCCAGGAGCTGGGGCCAGGAGGGGCAGCCATTGACAAGGCTAGGAGAGCAGGCGGAGGATGGGGCTGATTCAGAGATTCGACCAATTTGGTGGTGGCTGAATCTCCAAATCAAATTCAGCCAAATTGATTCGGGACAGAGATTCAAATCGCAGAATCGAATCATTGACCCCCAAATTGTCCGAATCTAAAACCAAAGTGAATGCTAACCACTTCGCACAGGCCTAGCATTTATGCCTTCCTCCGTAGCAGGGGGCATGACCTTCTTCCTGGGATATCTTGGGAATATAGTAACAACCTTTACAGCAGGAGAAGGTTGGCTGCTGTTGTCCCCCTGCTTTACCGGTGGTACATTAAGGTATTACATCGTGTTTTGTGTCAGGGTTGCCTGTAGTTTTGCTAAGAGGTAGATAATAGATTTATATATGGTGGTTTGAATAGGGATGATCCTGCATCAGGGAAGGGTGTTGAATTAAATGACCTCTAGAGGTCCCTTCCAGCCTGCCTTCTCTAAGATTCTCTATGATTCTGTATTAGATAGCAAAGCAGGGACTAGAAGGTATTGAGCTAACTTAACAGACACCCATCCCCAAATGAAGCAGGTCAGCGGTGCAGGGTTGTGTCCCTGCACAGCTGATCCACTAAATTGGGCAAAACAGGCATCACCCGTTGTCCCACAGGGTTAGGCCCCTGCCACTCCCAAGAGCAGCTTGTACCCAGTCCTGCAGGACAATAGTTGGATCTGCCTCTGCAAACAGGGAATCCCTGGGCGCACCTTTGCAATCAGCGAAACCTGAGGGCTTGTCTTTGCATATGGGGATACCCTGGCCTTCCCCATTTGCAGAGACATGCCCTAAGTTTGTGCACATTTCTACAAACAGGGAAACCTCCTACAAATGGGGGGGGAATTCCCAGAGTGTGCAGAATCGGGTCCAACAAGCCCTGGGAGCACCTACCTTCACTCCTCGCTTTAAAGCAAACACATCCACTGCAAAACAGTGACCCAAATTCATACCACCAATGTCACGGCCAGAAATGTTGGGCATTTGTGGTGTGACAAGGCACATGGACTTCTGTTTACTTGGCCTTTGTGCTCCCATAAAAATGTTTATGGGAGCACAAAGGCAATGTCTGTTTCCACCCCAGAGGAATACTTTTGGAGCCTGATGATTTTTTAACTACTCAGCCAGAAGGCAGAGTTACTCAGCACAAACAGCTGTTGAGAATAATGACCTCCTACACAGCCCTTCTGGGAGTTCTCCTGAAAAAACTAAGGAGTAAATAGCTCATATTTCTAATCTAAGAAAAACCAAGCAAAAACAGAAGTAGTCATTTCCTGAGCTAGCATAATGGAGGTGGCTCTGTTGAGGTGATCTGGAAATATTTCTGGCTGACTGTACAGCAGAAAGGGGCAAAAGCTTATATTACTTTGCAGATTGACTTGGACCTCTATCAGTCATCCTCAGAATGAAAATATGAGCAAAAACAACTGTGGATAATGCTATAACTTAAAGTATGTAACGTATATTTGAAGTTGAACATTTAGATTTAGGTCTTTTTTTGTTGCAAATTAGCCATGATACCCTATACTTTTAACAATAATACAATAATTCCCAAACATAGTACAACAAAAGAAAAAGAACTGAATTTATTTTTTAAATAACCGTTCTGTCCTATAAACTCT